CAGCACATAAATATATACCACTTATCAAAAGCAGAGTCCTACCCACTAGGCTTCTTTGGCACTCTGCACTATTTCCCCCCCAACATCCCTACGCTAAGATTAAAGAGATCCTCTCCAGTGCCTCGCAAGTATCAATCACCTTTTGGAGAAATGGACTAGGCCACTGGAGTGATACATGAAATTTTATCAAAATGAGATTGGGAGGTATCCATGGAGAGCGAGAGCCAGACCCCAGGTAAGTGTCTGGGAAAGTTTACAGAGCAAGACATAGGAGTCCTCCTGTCCAAAGACAGGCTTCTACTCCCTCATTGTCGTCAATTTTGGGGAGTTCAGGGCAGATAGAGACCAGGAAGACACAGTTGCATCCTGTGCGGACTTCCCAATCCTGGCTTCTTCTCTGAGTACTTTAACACCTGCTGAGCACAGGCACCTGGGGCGGGGGGTGGCCTGGGGTCTGGGCATGCAGCTGCCTCTGTTGGGAAGGCCCCTCACCTCTCAGCCCTCCTCTTGCTTGCCCCAATTTATATTTGTCTTCCAGGCCTCTCCTAATTCTTGATCCCTCCAGGCTAGATTGGGTCCTTCTGGCTGTTCTCAAAGTTCTTCGTGCTTCACCCAAATTGGAGGATAATCTCACTCTATTGTAATTGTTTCTTTACATCCCCATCTCCTCCATTAACTGGTCAGCTCCTTGAAGACAGGTGCCAAGCTGTGCCCTCCTAGCCTCAGTGCTCTGCATATACATGGAATATGATTTGTTACTTGAATAAATTAGCATATCTTCACATAAAGCAGGGAACTGATATTACACAGAAATTAAGGGTATAGTCTTTTGCCATTTGCTGACTGTGTGACTTGGGGCAAATCACTTAAGCACTCTGAAAACAATTTTATGCTCTCTAAAATAAGAATAGTAGAATACCTGCTTAACAGGGAGCTTTGAGAATTTAGATTTTCCACATTAAAGATATTTAGCCCTGAATTACCACAGGCAATCTGAGCTCAAAAAATGTTGAGAAGAGTTATTAGTAACAATGGAGTTATTGTTATTATTACCATCCGCCCCTGTTTTCTGTCCTTGGAATCAGTGACTTCTACCCTGTCAGGTAAGAACCTGAGGCAAAGAGCCAGCAGCCTCCTCGCTCAGCCACATGCCAAGAGTCGCGCCCAAGAGCCTTATGCCTTCAGGCTATCTGATTACACTTGTATCTTGGATGTTCCTCTGTGATTTTCCTCACACGTGCCTCAGGACTGATAGCGTTAGCTAGAAATAGTAGCCTTCGCCTGCTGGCTGATCACGGTCTTCCGCACACAGGAGTTTCTGCAGAGAGGTATGTCAAGCCCCTCATGTCCCACTATGAGCTTTTGTTGGCTTCCTTCACTACGTATTGTTCTCTGTGGTTTTTATCTTAGCCTGGTATGCAATGAGGGAAGAAAAGTTCTGTGGTGCCAAGAATAAAGATTCCAAGAGGTAGCTGGAGCACAGGGGCTTTCAAAAGTGTAAAACAATGTGGTGATTCTTCTCAGGGCCTGTATGTTATGGCTTTAATTCTCTTCCTGAAAGACAAGTACAAGGTGATCTCTCCAGGAAGCTCTGTGAGGCCTTACCAATCCCCAGGGAAAGCTGATCCTGAGGCAAAAGTGCAGCTTTCCACAGATGAGAGCAATGTTTGATCTTGACAATCAAACATTGGTTGATGACAGTCAGGCTGGAGTCCAGGAGAGGTCTTCTCATTGCCTGTAGAGCAACACTCAACTCCCTTGCCCCACCTTTCTGCCAAGAACATGACACCTACGTTTATTGCCCTTCAAGAGATCTGTCAGTTTGGACACAAGATCACAAATTACAGTGTACATATTTTTAATTGATCCATTTTTCTATGACCCAGTTAACATTATATCTCATCTCATTTAATTCTAAAACACTATGAGATAGTTATCATTATTCCCCTTTTGAAGATGAGAAAAATGAGGCTTAGCCAAGGTAAATGATTTGCCAAAACACATACTCATTAAGTGGTAGAGAGGAGAAGAGATCCATTAGTAATAGTTTCTAACTTTACTCTAAGCTTTTGAAAAGTAAGAAAGACTCCCAAAATCTTATTTTCTATAACAAAGTATGTGGCTAGGTATGCAAATAGGTATAAGACAAGGGAAAAATGATATCTTATTTAACAAATAATTTTTCTTATAAATAGCCAACTATATATATATATATATATATATCAACTATATGTGACAACTATACAGATATATAAATATAGTAATTTGTGTATGTGTGTATAGGATACGTTCTTGGGAAAATGTGAAGATTAAGATAATGGATATGATATTTGCAGGAAAAATTGTATTCACGAGAAGGGTAGCATTCACACATACACTGCATAATGTAACTCGTAAGGTTTGGGGTAGAGAAGCCTGCTCACAGGGCGGGACATGGATTTCTGACTGGAATCCAGTCCTGGTTCTGCCATCGATGGGGGAAAGTTACTAACCCTCCTGCCTTTGGGTGTCTTCATTTGTAAAATAAATAGTTAAGCTAGGACAGTGGCTCCCAAATAGTGGCCTGCGATGAAATTTTCATTAGTTCATGGTGAAAAGAGAAAAATAAAAACAATAGACTTATTTGTATAAATTCATTTATTTTATAAATATGTTAAAATGGCTTGCTTTGATGAACAATGGGGATTTTGTTTCCTCTTTGAACATCCTCACACAATTCAAGTATGTCCTCTATAATGGAACCCTAATAGTGAAAGTATATCTGTTTTTTTACCAGTTCATAAATCAAAAGGTCTGGCAACCACTCAACTACTAATGTCCTGTCCAGCTGCAAAATCCTATCCTCTTCTTAAATCACAGATGATATAAAACTAACTCTAAAGTGGGAAGGAAAAGAATAGAAACCCCTTTTTTTCCCCTCCCCACCTTGTTCTTGTTTAGCTCAGCATTTCCCCAAAGGTGTCCTGTGAAAGACAAGCCCCCAGCAAGATATTAGAGCTATTTCACTAGAAAAAGGATTCTTAGTCAAATGAGTTTGAGAAACAATGGGTTAAAAATGTTGGGCAGGTTTTTTTACTGAGTAATTCTCAGACCTTGTGAAATTCTCACATCTGTTGGGACTCCCCAAAAGACGACAAAGCACGAGCACTCCTGAAGTTATGGGTGGAGAGCAGATGCCTGCCCAACCCCCTTTTGAGGTCAGTACACCTATTCTAGGAACACAGTTTGAGAAAGGTGATTTCAGCTAAAAGAAATTTCCTTAGTGGCTTCCATTATAAAGAAAAACATAGCACCAGAGACAAGGGGACTGCCAATTATTTTATAATATAATTATTCTAATTTGACAGGGCTTTTTAACAATTACCAAAGCTACAGATATTTCTTAAAATTACAAAGGAAAACTGGATGAAAATTCTTCAAATTAAAGTGCAAAGAACTAGACAAAGTTTTGTGGCCATTTTGGGCAACTTTTCTTTTAACCACAACAAATAAAGGAAAACTGTGTCAAGAGATTTGTATCCAGTGATTGCAACATGATAATTAAAGCATTTGGAATTTGCAGAAGTCTGCAGTAACAAAATTATGGCTATCATCCCTACACAGTGAATATGAGGTAAAATAAAACCATCTGTAGGTACTGAGCCTGAGAAAACCCACTTTCTCTCAAATGATGTGTCCTTGTTAAATATTTCAGCAGGAGGAACAATTAATTCTAAATGCTTGTGCCTCCTAATTGATTTACTTAAACACTTTCACCTTGATCAAGAAACAAAATTCTTAATAGAAGAAAAAGGTCTAATAGCATATGTTTGTATTTATTTATTTATTTCTGCATAATTATCTGATGAGAGTTAAGAAGTTTTACTTAGCCCCTTTTATTGCTTTTTACATCACCAAGCGAAATATCAACTAGCTAAATCCTCCAGCCCTCACATTCTAGATTCAAGTTTCACTTACCACACTGAGGAGAGAACAGTTTTCACTTGGGACAAGATGATTTTGGAACAAACTATCCAAAGGGAGGACCTAGGAAGGATCTTTTGGATATTCTGACACTAACAACCTTTCTTTCTGATTCTGTGCACACCAGGTTTTTGACAAGCCTGTGGCTCTGCATTACTTCTAATATTTTCCATCATAACTGTATAGTAAGTTCAGCCTGTTTTTCATAATCCTGCTGACTACAACAGTCTGCAGCCATAAAAAGCCTTCACTGACCTGGAGTTGGCTTAGAAAGTGCCTCTGCAGACAAACAAAAAAGTACATGCAATGTTTATGTTCAAAGATAGGAGAGAGGCAAGCTCTTGTGGTGGTGCTGATAGGCGCAAAAGATTTTTAGGGTCTAAATTTAGAATGTTTAATTTTCTTTTGATGGCATTTGTAAACAAAATACCAACACTAAAATGAGAGCAATTTAGCCAGGAAAAGGGGGAGTGTCCAGTCCAGCAGATCAAACCCGCTTCCAAACTCCCCTGGAGAGAAGGGTCTACAAATTAGCACATGACCCTACCTTGGTGTGCCCTGCCTAGCGTCCCTCAACCCCCAAGTTAGCAAGTACGCTTGAGGTTTACACCATCCAAAGTTTCAGAATTAGCTTCTTTTAAACCTAAAGCCAGTACTGGTTTAGTCTCTGGGAAGGGCAATAAAAACACCAAACAAGTCTTTTTAATAGACTGCCATACCCATCTACATACGAACTCAATATACAAATACAGTAGTTTGAATCTATAGCATTCAAGCGACTGTGAACATCTGTGAAACCTAAGAAGTTGGTCTTCATTTTTGCATTAAAGAGATTCAGTTGAAAACTAAGTATCAGAGGGGGAAAAAAAAGTAAAAGTTTAAGCAACTCCTTCACACATCTGAACTTTGACTCTCCACAGAAGAACTGTATTCCCCTCCCCCAATCTGGTAAAGTAGATCACATTTAATATCAACATTTAAAAACTAGTATCTCTTAAAAAATTATTTTTAAAACACAAAACAGCAGAGCTACTTGCCTTTTGGCAATTTCTGTGCATTTCCCAGGGTTAGTGCAATACTTCCACAGAGAAGTAGACACCCCAAGCTGGAGAGCATGTTGCATTTGCCACCTCGCACGGGGAGTGATGCTGGTGGGCGTCCCGCAACCCTGGAACTGCATTTAAGTGGACTGTCTCCCAGTGACAGAGGCGGGCGGCTGCACTTAGCTCTGCTGTGGGCTTACTCACAGGGGGTGGAGACAAAATGACATCACACCCTTTCCCACACACACCAAAAAAAAAAAAAAAAAGGCACAACAGCAAAAACATATCATCACATTTCTGTCTGCTACGTTGTAACTGTCTCTTCTCTCTGTGATATAAAAATTGAAATTTTGGTCAATCTATATTTGTGAAAGAAAAAGTATTTAGGCAATTCTTAACCATTCGATTAACTCCTTTTAAAAATCCAGGAAAGGCATACCCCAAACCATCGGAACAGAGTAAGACCTTATTAAGAAGGAAACTGTTTTTAATTATCTAGTAAAACAATCCAATTCTTCTTTTAAATGGGAGTAAACTCATAAAAGTACACTTTGAGCCATTCCGAAGTTCCAATATCATGAGAAACTTTAAAGAGTAAGTCATTTTACATAGCAACTCATTATACACAACAGGCATATGTATATTAGTGTATATACACTCACAGATACATACATACATATATTCTAGAGATCTGGATGTAGAAATGGAGAAATCGCTATTACTAATTGATCCCCAGCTCTGGGCTGGGCTCTGGAATAGTGCCCTTACCTATATGATTGCATTTTAATCTTCACAGCGGCTATAAAGGAGATACAGCATTATTCCCATTTTACCAGTGAGAAAAACTGAGGCTCAGAGAGGTAAAGTCTCCTGGCCACACTAGGGTATTCTAATGGTTAATCATTTGGGTGGGCTCTGGAATAGAACTGACTGCAGTTTAAATCTGGATGCTCTGGGCACCTGGGTGGCTCAGTCGTTAAGTGTCTGCCTTCGGCTCAGGTCATGATCCCAGGGTCCTGGGATCGAGCCCCGCATTGGGCTCCCTGCTCTGCGGGAAGCCTGCTTCTCCCTTTCCCATTCCCCCTGCTTGTGTTCCCTCTCTCGCTGTGTCTCTCTCTGTCAAATAAATAAATAAAATCTTTAAAAAAAAATAAATAAATCTGGATGCTCTGTGACTTTGAGCAAATTTCTCCATCTACCTCTCATCAACATTGTGTAAATTCAAGGGCTTGCTCCTTGCGAGGCACTGATCTGATTAATTCACATATATTAACCCATTTCTTCCCCAAAATAACCTAGCAGGCAGGCATGGTCATCACCCACATTTTCCAGATGGAGAAACGGGGCATAGAGAGGTTAAGTGAAAGGCTTGAGGTCACAGTGCTCATCAGCAACTGAGCTGGCATTTTAATCTGGCAATTTAACTCCAGAGCCTCCACTCTTAACTGCTAAACTTTCCATTCTAAACCAGAGATGATAGTACCTATTTCATAAATTTGCTAGCAGGAAGAACTTTGGGACAGTACTTACCATAGCACCTGGCATACAGAAAGCATTTAATAAAGGCCAGATACTGAAAACAACAATCATGACAATAACAAACCCCCAATTAAGGAGAACTATGATTCTAACTGCACTTGTCTGTCTCTAAAGCCCACACAGGTCCTCTCTCCCTCTCCCACAATCTAGACACACTGTGGGAATGACTGGGTTAATAAAGTACTTGAAATGTCATCCAAACATTTATATTGACTCTGAAAATAGCTCGTTTCATGGGTTTGCTGTAGCTGAACCAAAACACTAAGTGGGAAGTGGTATGCTGGTCTAAAAAAATTCTAGTTAAAAAAGTTACCAAAAGAAAAATTGAAGAGACAGCCCCATCTTCCAAAAAAAGCGTGAGAAGGCACATTGTTAAAGTCATTTGGAGTTGGCCAGGTCTAAGCTCTCACCAGAGGAATGCTCTGGCACCGGCTACGGAAGGGATTGGGTTATTTAACAGGTCTTTTTCATCTCTAATTTTTTACTTGGCTAGGCAGCTCTCGCAAACCCAAGTTTGGACGTTCATCCAGCTGGCACGGCGGTCTCGGCTTCTATATGCCAGTGCCATCAAGTTAAGCCAGTGAGACCACTGTGCTAGCAGGAAATAACAGGTTTTCTGAGAGGGGGGAAAGAAAAACCCCAGCAGAAATATTGAGAAGGCTGGTTCTCCCAACAGTGTGAGGGGCCGGTCCCAGGGTTAAGTAATGGAATTCAAGAGTCAGCCTCTACTTGGCCCGCAGGCTAAGTCCAATCGACGTTAGCAATCAGTATTTGCAGTCTGGAACTGACTGGGGGATAATTAAATAGAGGGCAATCGCCAATTATTTTGTCAGAAAAAGATGGCTGCACTAACTTAGCTAGTAAGACAAGGAGCATTCAATGCAGATGTTAAAGTATTAGAGGTCTCCTCAGACCAGGGAGGAGAAACATCCTAAAGAAACGGACCATGATTCACCTTCTCAGAGAACAAGAAGTTTTCAGTTATGGCAGAGTCCCCACCTAAAGAAGAGGTACAAATGCTCCAGAAGAACACGAAGTGCCTTGTTACATGAGATAAAACTTCAGGGCCATGGTCATGTAATCAGTGGAGAGTTAAGGCCATTTTTAAGGAAGAATTACCCTCTGACAATAGGTGACATCAGAGGATGTCTGTGGAGTACTTTGTGCATCTCTGTTAGGTTTTCTCAGTTGTCACAGAAGAATGCTGACATTAAGCCCTGGTTCAAATGCCTCTGCAGGCACTTGTGTCTGTATTTATCTGTAAATATAAAAATGTGAAGCTCCACGGGGCACCTAGATGGCTCAGTCAGTTAAGCGTCTGCCTTCGGCTCAGGTCATGATCCCAGGGTCCTGGGATCGAGCCCCGCATCAGGCTCCCTGCTCCGCGGGCAGCCTGCTTCTCCCTCTGCCCCCTGCTCGTGCTCTCTCTCTCTCTCAAATAAATAAATAAAATCTTTAAAAAAAAAACGTGAAACTCCATTACTTGTGAGATTGTAGAATATTGAATTGTCACCAATATTCGTGGAAAGCCTTTTTTTATACATTTGTTCAAACCCACAGAATATACAACACCAAGAGTAAACACTGATGTCAAATACAATTTCCTGATGATAATGATGTATCAGTGTGAGTCCATCAATTGTGACAAATGTAACTGATTTGTAACAAACTCCAGTGTGGGATGTTGGTAATGAGGAGGGCAAAGGGTATATGGTATATCTCTGCATGTGTGCGGTAGGTATATGAGAAATCTCTGCACATTCCACTCAATTTTGCTGTGATCTTAAATCTACTCTACAAAAATAAAATCTATTACCAAAAAAAAAAAAAATCCTTGTTGAGAGGACATTTAGGAATAACTGCTGGAAAAACACATAAAATATATTTGTATTTTCTCTATGTTCTGTGAAGGGATGAACCAATCCTGTTTGTTTATCACTGTAGCGAGTGCCTAGAATATAATAAGGATACAGTATGATGAGTGTCAAATGAAACAGAATCCATCAATTCCTCCAAATAATCTAAAGGGATCAAGCTAGAGAAAGTTAGACTATGCCTTGGAATGCACAGTTGTCGGGGGACAATTCTCCAAGGGACCCTCATGTTTCTGTGTATCTTATAAGCAAAGGTACTGATTTCCTGTGCTCCAGACTATCTTTCCAAAGACGTTTATATAGGAAACAGGCTTGGAAGATAGAAGTTTGTTTACTGTCCAATAGAATAAAAGGTAATGTCTCCCTCTGGGGCAAAAAGGGAACACTTGCTCATATCCTATCAGCAAAGAGCCAAGTTCCCTAAGCTCAGGGTTTCTGCGGCATGTGTAGGTATCACCCATACTTCTTTGCATTGCCCTTTGGGAATCTGAGCTCCTAGAATGGGAACAAACGTGATATTCAGGCTAATGCTATTGCTGTGAGTAAATAAACTGTCCTTTGTCTTTGACCCTGAGTCTGGTGTCTCCTGCCAGCATTACTGAACCATGCATGCTAGTGTGCACATAGGGTAAAATCTCAACCCTTCACAATTCTTGACAATAAGATTGGCACACTCCAAAATACCTTTTTAGATAAACTTTGGTATAATGCCATGATCAACATTCAAGTCTACTGTAAGAATCAACAATGAAACCTTCTGCTGTGCATAGTAAGAGCATTGTTAGATATTGCTTATTAAATCATAGAGTATCCTCTTTATTAAAACTCTGGGGGAAAAAAGTCTGTTCTTTATGGTAAAAAAAAAAAAAAAAAAAAAGACTAGTTTTTTTCCTGAGCAACTGTATTTATTTTGTGACATTGTAACCAGGTTTTTCTTATTGTGTTGACAGATAGAAAACCAAGGCCAAATGTGTCCCCCACCCATACTAAGTGTATAGGTCTTTGTGGTGTGCATGTTTTGGCATCATTCCTGGCTTTGTTTTTCATCCCACCCTTATTTGTTGCTTATCTTACTTGGAATCTTAATTTATGTGATTTCATAAGTTGCTTTCATTGTTGTTTTGGAACCTAGTGAGGGATATACAAACTCGACACACAAGAGTTGTGTCAAAAGTATATATCAAAATATGTGAAGTGAGAATCTGGGAACTTGTTCTCTGCTTTCTTTTTCACACAACAGTAAACCCTGATGGAATTCTGGTCCGATGATCATATAGCATCACCTCTTTATATATATTTTCTCTACAAAGTAGACAAAAGACAGGAGGAAATCCAGAACACTACACTAAACACATGTCAGATTTTTCAGTCATTTCACATTTGGATTTTGAAGCATTCAATATTAATTCCATTGTTTCAAATGAGCCTTCCACTAAAACTCATAAATCTTTCTAATCTTGGATATAAACTCGGTGCAGTCATTTTACCTATCAGTTCACAGTTTGTAGTCTCTCCTTCTTAAGGTCCTGTGCTAGGACATTTTAAAAGGCTTATATATCTACAATTAATAATATGCAAAGGTATGCTGTGGCTTTCTATGGGATAATAATAAAAATAACATTTTATTATGACTCATATTTGAAAGAGGTACCCCAATATTCCATATTTTTAGCCCAAATGTTGTTTCTATAATTACTGTGCTGAATGAGACCCATGATTCAATTGTACAAGTATCCTGTTCCATTGGGGGTACATTTGAC